CCTATCCCTGTGTGCCTTTGCTCCCACGACTGGTTCAAGATTAGAGAAAGTTGTAAAGGGTGGATTTATTAATTTTGTGGTCTATTTTTAAAAAACAATTAGTTTTGTGGGGTAATTTCGTAAATATTACTACAAGACAAATGATACTTTTGTCATCTCCATAAAAGGTCAAGTGGAAATTTTAACTAAAAAACAAGGGCACTCTACAAATAAAGTTTCAGAACACTAACTTCCAAAATACCATTGTATTTTTGTGAAAATTTCAAATTTGCCCTTATTTAATGGTAAAGTTATCAAGAAAAAATGGATTTCAAGTTTTGAAAATAGTGCATTTTATAACACATTTTTAGACCGTCAATTTTCAAGATTTTCAAGTTTTCATAGATCTGTTGATCTACACTATTTTTTACGCTTTCAACTTCATAAATAAATATCAAATTATATTTTAAGGCGATCACAAAGATTTCCCGTATTAAAACCACATTTCTCGACACTCTAATTTGATTGCTTAGAGCCCAGGCTCCCTACAAACGGTACCCTTTAAATAATTTGTTAATAAAAAAATAATTATTGTTTTGATAAATACACCTATCACAACTCCTTCTAACTTGAATCTTTGTATTTTGAGGGATTGTTAACTCTAAACAACCCATATACATCAGGATTGTTAACTCTAAACAAATTCATAGTCATATACATATACATATACATATATAGGAAAAAGTTCATGTACGCCCATGTCCGTACCACTACAGTAAACGTCCAACGGCCCAGATCGAATTTGAGCCGATCTGATGGTCATGGTTGTTTGAGAATGTTTAAAATTTAATTTTCTTTTCTACAAATTAGAATGATCTAAAATTTGGAACATGTATACATATTAGTGAGGTGCACCTAATAAAAATATTCAAAAAATATTTCGTAAAAAACAAATTGACCAAAATACCCCTAAAATGTTTCGGGGGTATTTTGGATAATTTATTTCATGTAAAATATTTTTTTGATATTTTTCGTAGATTCGCCTATTTTTTATGAATACAAAATCTAAATTTCAAATCATTTCGACTTGTAGAAAAAAAATGAAAAATAAAATACTACCAGACATCCATGATTATCAGATCGACCCAGATCCGATCTGATGTTCAGCGTTTACTGTAGTGGTATACGAATCGACGTTTAATCAATTAAATTATTTTTTAGCAAATTTCAAGGCATACATACATCCGAAATGGGCGCACATGGTAAAAAAAATAAAAAATAATTTATGTGATGAAAAATTATCAGACTATCCCTAAAATGTTTAGGGGAATTTTGGTTATTTATTTTCATGAGAAATATTTTTGTTTTTATTTTTTCTCAGTGTGGCTTGGAAAGAAGATGAGACGCCCTAAATTTCAGCCAAAAAGGTCTGATAGAAAATAAATAAATAAAATCAAATAGTGTTTTGGCATGACATTGAGACTTGAGCAATCTTAGCCGTCGACTCTGATCAAATGGCTAAGAAGTGAAGTCACATATAACTTATATATAGGTGGGGTCACACAAAAAGATTTCCCTATATATATCATCAACTTTATTTTAATAAACATAAAGTGCACTCCTAAAACCTATTGGAAATAGTTTTTTTCACACTCAAAAGCCCTCTAATTTATCATCTCAACCTCAAAAACTAAGGATAAAAAAAGATGGATTGCATATTCTAGAAATGGTGCCTCTATTATCACATTTAGAGTATCTATTTTCAGGATTTTAAGGGTTTGTAGATGTGCCGGATCTAAGCCATAGGGGTCCATGGTAGAATTTAATCTCAGTCATATGGATCTCTCCAAATCTCGCATATGACAATGAATAATTTCGAAAAGCAAAAGATTGATCTTCAGTCATTGAAGACCTAGA